AGGTGTTCTTGACCATGTCCTCCTTTTCTCTTTCTTGTGGAAACACAAATTCTCAGCCTTAGCATTGCTCAAATTCATCGGATTCATGTGGAAGAAGGATGGCCAGGTGGAGCAGTTGTTCAAAACAAATGGAGATTTCATGGAACGATACATCTGAGGTTCTAACTACTGTGCCCCAGATAAACACATGATGACTGAAAGCATTTCTACTGGTTGAGGAAAATGTGTGTCTCAGTGCAGCCCTTGTGTGCATGCAATCTTCCATCCTTCCACAAGCCTGCTGATGTCATCATGGGATAGTCTGTTTTCCTGGAAGAAATGGAGGCTGGTAATGAAGCTTATAAAAGTACACCACGTCAATGAAAAGCATCTTCTACCTTTGTAACAATGCATAGTCTAGAGATTTGCCATTTAAAACATTCTTTTAATTCTTTTAAGGGAGAAAGAAATAACTTTCTCTAAGTTGGAGGGTATAGTTCAACATATGAGGAACATGATGGCAGTTGAATGAGACAGCGAATGGCATTGCATGTGTAGTCAGGGAGTAGAAAATGACAAATACTGTTGCTCAGTTTGCTTTTTATGGAGAAAAGACTCTAGCCAATGGGCAGGTGCCACCCATGTGTTCATTTGTTTGTTTATTTAATGCTTCAAATACTTACCATGGGTTTAGAGATCTACCTTTACACTTAAGAAGCTGTTCCTCTTTTAGAGGAAATGATTTGTTCTCCCAGCATCTGTATCAGGTGGCTCAAAATGTCTGGTAAATCCAGCTTCAAGGAAACAGATACCTTCTTATGGTCTCCAAAGGAATTCATATATGAGATACATCAAGGAAACAGATGCTTTCTTATGGCCTCTAAAGGAATTCATATATGTGATACATTCTACCTCTCTACCTCCCTCCCTCCCTCCTTCCTTCTCTTTCTCTCTCTCTCAAATATGTATTTAAAATCTTAAAAATGAATAACCTGAATTTAATCTATATTAGTATATTAGTGAGTCTTCTATAATATTCAAATGATAAATAAGCATAGAGCTTCAGGGATGGAGGGACGGCTCAGTGGAGGAGAACCCTTTGTTCAGTAGGGTTCATGGCATCTGAAATCTGTTTGTACCTCCAGTTCCAGATAATCCAATGCCCAAACCTGATATTTGTGAACTCATGCATGAATGTTATACACATGAACACACTAAATCACATGCACACGCAAACTCACACACACACACACACACACACACACACACACACACACAATCAAATAAATATTTTTTTCACACATATGGAAAAGATAATAGAGCTTCAAACTAAAAGTTTATTCTCTGCCCTGATACTCCACCAAATATATTGAGGAATCTGGTGGATTCTTTCCATGGCATTTAAACATACTAACATATGCGTGTAAATGTGTTGCCTTGGGGTTGTGATGATTTTACAAAAATGGGTTCCTGTGACATAGGTTATTATTTTTTCACTTACACTCCTTGAAAATATTTTAAGTCATATAGTACCAATAAAATGCTCATATTTTCCATAAATACACATTTTTATTAAGCAGATGTCCACGACTTTGACGTAACACAGCATAAACTTTACACA